TCGGGGGATGGCACGCAGATGTTAGAGGAGATGGCCATCGAGATCCAGGCCGCGGTTGTCCCCTTTCATCTTCTTAGCTGACTGGAACATGGAGGTCTCGGAGTTTCGGGAACCTGGAATCGAATAGTATTTAGATGCCAGGTTTGTGTTTCCCGAAGGGGCCCCATCGGCAGTTCGGCAAGCGGGTGATCGACTTCGGGTTGGTCTCTTCCCGCCTTCTCCCCCACCTCACCCTGCGCTGCGACCTAGAAGGCCCGCGGGCACACCCACATCTAGGAATTCGAGGCAGATCGACAGGAGCCTTCAGGGAGCTGCAGCTGCAAGTTTTCGCCCAGCCCGTCAAGCCCCCGCTCGGCGTGCAAGGGCCCATCTGGGCCTGGGGATTATTCCAAGAGAAAGCTCGTGCTCGACTCCCAAGCCGACCCCAAACCGAGTGCTTCACTACCGCGTCCTGCACCGATCCAGCCCTTGCCGTAAGGTGTGCAGTCTTTCCTGGTGCAGATGAGGAGCTGCGCAAGTCCGAGTTTGTGGGCGCGCCCGACATCGCGCACCACCGTGGTTGCTCGCCTGCCCTTTCCATAAGACCAGCCATGCCACCAGCCAAAGAGTGGTCAACATGGGGGGCCCACAAGCTAGCTATCTAGGAAAAAACCATGGATGCTCGCCTCCAGGGCCTCTTGGGGCTCAGGGTCGGCGAGGGGGGCCCTGCCAAGACCACCAAGCGCGAGCAGGTTGAGGGACTTTTGAAGGCCAAGCTTGGCAGCGCCTAGGCATGCCACGTCCCCGAGGGCTCCCAAGAAAACAAGGGCCAGACGGCCATAGAGGTTAGGGACATCCCGGCGCAGGCCCAGCAGATGGCCCACCTGTCCCAGGGCGCCCTCAAGGACCTGGCTAAGAAGCGTAAGACTCTACGGGGTCGAACTGGCAATGGAGCATATCGTGCCACACAAGCTGGTTTCCGGGACCGGCTCTCTCAGAGCCTCCGGGGGGTGGGTGGGGGAGAGGGGCAAGTGGGCCCACTGGCGCACTGAGGCCTGGGGGCATCCCGAAGCCATCCCAGCCCAAGAGCTGGGCGCGGAAGGCGACCCACTCTGGGATCCTTCGGAGCCTATGGAGATCAAGCAAGGCCGTTGGCAGGCACTCTGGAAGAACCCTGAAGGCCGAGGACGTCCAACTACCTGGGGCTGGTGGCAAGTTTGTCGGCAACGCGCACGGGCCCAAGTGGGTGAGCTCCTAGAGTGTCAAATCCCGCAGGTCGTAGTAGCTTGCCAGGATATCCCGAGCTGCATGGGCATAGGGGCCGACCAGTGGAACCCCGTGCTTTGGGCTGACTTTCCTGGGGAAGCGCGCGACGAGCTAGGCGCGCCCCTCCAGGACATCGTGCGCGCGCGCGCCTGGCCGGAGCAGACCCCGTTGAATGAAGTTGGCATGCGCCCCAAGCCCTCGGGGGAAGGACATGCCTATCACCCGTGCCCAAGGGCTGTGCCGGACTTGGTCCCGACTGAGAAAAGAAGTCGCCACGATCTGGGAGAAGGAGAAAGCAGGGTTTTGGGATGCAGCTGTGCGAGGCTCCGACCCTTTAAAAGCAGCGCTCTTTCGACGCGCCATGGCAGAGGCAGCGAGCTGGATGTCTGTTGATTGGGCCGTCCTCCTCCTAGATGCTGAGAAGTTGTTCGACGCGCTGGGCCCCTTCAGGGTATGCACCCTCGGGAAGGCTCCAGACTGCCCGCTCCGCGCCATGTTCGCGGGCATGTGCGTGCGCGCGGCGGACAGGGTGCTCATGCTGGGGCGAGAGGCGTCAGGGTATATCACGGTCGAGCGCTCCATGCTCCAGGGATGCATGCAGAGTGTTAGCTGGACGCGACCATATCTGCGCGACATGTTAGACCATGCTCATGCCCGATATAGGATCTATGGAATTCAGCACGTCGGTGGGCGACATCTCTCTCCTCGAGGGGCCCCAAGGCAATCGTGCGCAGGCTGGCCGCCCAGGGTGCCGCGGATGTGGTATGCCAGATGAGAGCCCGATGTCTCCGTCTCTCAGGAAAGTCCCAGCTCCTCGGCAGCAAACTAGTCAAGTGGACCCACAAAGCGCTCCAGAAGGCAGGTATCCACGTCCAGTTGGCTACCGGGACGAGAGACCTCGGACTAGATTTTGCGTCGAGGAGGCGATCCACACAGGTCACCAAAGGCTGGCTGAGAAGGGCTTTCGCCATGGCCGAGCGGGTGAAGGAGCTCCTCGAAACGAACGGGCGAGCCAGCAAGCTCAATCTCACTGGGGTTGAGCCGCAAGCTTCCTGGGGAAACGATGGCCCAAGGGGCCTCGCCCACCGCTCTCAAGCAGCTTCGGTCCAGATGGCCGCCCTGACTGGCAAGCGACGAGCTGGAGGGTGTGCTGCGGCAGCGATGCGGCTCGGCCCTGGCAAGAAAGGCGACCCCAAGGCTTGGCTGCGCATCCTCCCCGCCCGCATGCGCGAGGGGGTCTCCTTCCGAGCCGCCTGGGCCAGCTGCGTCGAGGCGATGAAGGCTGCTGCGCGCCCGTGGGGCGAAGTCAGAGGCCCTACAGCTGCGCTAGTTACCGCGTGTATCCAGATCGGATGGGATCCCCAGCTTCCCTGGCAGTGGAAGGGCCCCACACGGAGATGCCCATTGCCTGGCCCCCAACGACGCCCCGCCAGGAAGAGCCCACATCTACTTGGAGGCGATCTCGGGCTCTAACCCAGGATGGCAACAGTGCGTTTTACCTGAAGTTGAGAGCGCATTGGAGCAGCAGGTCTCGAGGGACTTTGCAGCCAAACACTTGTGTGGCAGCGGCCCCGAGCACGGTGCCGACCTCACCGTGCTCTTAAGGCTCATCTGTGGCCATCGGCGTGCGCGACGCCATGGGCATGCAGCGCTGCGCGAGCGCATAGCCACAGGGGCCCTGCGGCCAGGAGACCGGCGTTTCCCTGACGAGCCCGATCGACAACAAAAACCCTCGGTGTGCAGCTGCACGCCCCCGCCCCTGGAAGTGCCCACGCGTCAACGCAACGGAGCGCGCAGCCTTTGACTTCCTCCCCCAGATGGAGGGCGAACGTGAAGAGCGGGCTTGTGTTTGGCATCGTGGAATCGTTCCGATCCTCTGCAACCGCACATGGACAAGTTCCCAGAATGGAGGTTCGAGTGTTCTGGAGGTGCTGTTCAGGATCAGCCTCTCCAGCTCCCCCCAGATGCCTTTGTAGGTATTGATGGGAGCGGGAGCGACCGCGCCAGTGACCCGAGGCTCCGTAGATGTGGATGGGGTTTTGCTATTTGGTCCCAGGATGCCATTCTTGGGGAAGCCTGGGGCCCTCTTCTCGGACGGCGCCAGACGGCGCCCCTGGTGGAGCTGGAAGGCCCCGCCCAGTCCTTCAAACACACAGAAGGACCAGCCACTTTTGTCGCTGATTGCGCCTGCGTTTTGAAAGAAATTCATTCTGGCCCAGGGCAGGTCTCGCCCTTGCATGCTGCAGCCTGGGCTCGATTTTGGCATGGATTTGACGTCGGGCCAGGGGAAGCGCAGTTGGTTAAGATTATGAACCACCTCGCAGAGGCTGACATAGGCCGACTTGTCTCCGAGGGTGGTTTCCGGTGTAATGGGGCTGCTGGCGAGGCGGCTAAGGGAGGAGCTGCCCTCGCCCAGCTCCGCCCAGCGTCCCTTGCCGAGGTTGCCCGAGTCGATTCCCTGGCCAAGAAGGTGTTGGAACACTTGCTCGAGGCAGGTATGGCGGAGGTCCTGGCCAGGCAGGCTGACGCCAGAGCCCCAGGAGCCCCGACCCCAGCCGATTTCGTTGCCGCCCGCAGAGAGCGGCGTGATGGCCGAATCGCTGCACGATTGGACGCCCGCCAAGCTACCACCCACCAGGTGGTTCCACGGCGAGGCTCCTCTTTTTGTTCTGTATGCCTGACGGCACCTACCCGCCAGCTGCCCACCAACGAGTGGTTGGCGGCCCCGTGTAAAGGCCTTCCCCATCAGATCCACAGTTCCCACCAAACTCGGTGCCTGCGCGGGCTGTGGTGGTGCGAAGTGTGTGTGTGTGTGTGTGTGTGTGTGGTGGTTCGGGGCGTACTCGCTTCAGTAGCTTGGGGAAGGACTGCCAGCGCCCAACAGCTGCTGGCAAGGAAGCTCTGGATACCCGTGCCGGAGGGTTCCTCCCACCCAATCGGGATGCCTGGCCAGACGAGCCAGGGCCAAGTCCAGGGTGAGCCATCCAGCCCCATCTTTCAAGGGTACCAGACTCAGGCCCTCGGGGAGTCGTTCTCAGGAGGAGGAGGAGGAGGAGGAGGAGGAGGAGGAGGAGGAGGAGGAGGAGGAGGAGGAGGAGGAGGAGGAGGAGGAGGAGGAGGAGGAGGAGGAGGAGGAGGAAAAAGAGGAGGAGGAGGAAAGAGGAGGAGGAAGAGGAGGGAGGAGGAGGAGGAGGAGGAGGGGGAGGAGGAGGAGGAGGAGTAGGAGGAGGAGAGAGGAGGAGGAGGAGGAGGAGGAGGAGGAGGAGGAGGCGGAGGAGGAGGAGGAGAGGAGGAGGAGGAGGAGTAGGAGAGGAGAAAAGAAGAGGAAAAGTAGGAGGAAAAGTAGGATTATGAGCGAGGAGGAGGAGGAGGAGGAGGAGGAGGAGGAGGAGGAGAGAGGAGGAGGAGGAGGAGGGCGGAGGAGGAGGAGGAGGAGGAGGTGGATGTGGTGGAGGAGGAAAAACGAGGAGGAGGAGGAGGAGGAGGAGGAGGAGGAGGAGGAGGAGGAGGAGGGAGGAGCAGGAACAGGAGCAGGAGCTGGAGGAGGCGGAGGAGGAGGAGGAGAGAGGAGGGAGGAGGATGAGGAGGGGGAGGAGGAGGAGGAGGAGGAGGAGGAGGAGGAGGAGGAGGAGGAGGAGGAGGAGGAGGAGGAGGAGGAGGACGAAGGGGAGGAGGAGGAGGTGGAGGAGGAGGAGGAGGAGGAGGAGGACAGATCCCCAGTTGGCCCCAAGTTGTAGGACGCCTATAGGTGACGCGCCCTGCTGCGCGGCCCACCCTGCTTGTCCTGCCGGGGGGAGCCGTCCGTTACAGGGGGCCGCCACCGAGCCGCTTGGATCTGCGCCGTGCGGCGAAAATTGCTCCTCCTCCTCCTCCTCGTCTTCTCCTCCTCCTCTTCTCCTCCTCCTTCTCTTGGCCCGCGCTTCCGTGAGGGTTCGGCGCTCGTTCTGTGGTTGCTTGCTCGTGTGTCGTCTCGACGAACAAAAGACACGGCGCAGACCTGATTTCTCCGAGGTCCGCGAGGATCTCTTGGGCCGGCGTTGGGTCTCCTGGTTGGGCCTCTGGGGCCGCCCCTGGCGCGTTCCACGCGCCGGGGAAGGGGTCCAGCGCCAGTCCAAGAATCAGGAGGGAGCAGAAACTCACAGACACACGTAATCGTCGACTCCCCAGGAAATTTGGGAGAGTATGGGAAGTGGGGGGGAAGACAGAACCCCAAGAAATACAAGGAAATATGGGTAATCCTTTTATTTGTTTCTATGCGTGTGTGTGTGTGTGTGTGTGTGTGTGTGTGTGTGTGTGTGTGTGTATGTGTGTATGTGTGTATGTGTGTGTGTGTGTGTATGTGTGTGTGTGCCCCAGGGCCCCTGGCCCCTTCAAAGAGGTTCGCTCGGACCTCCGAGGGATCATGCTTGTGCTTTTGTTTGTTCCTCCATCATCGGGGGGCCACGCGTGTACACCTTAGGCGATGCTTCAGAAAACTTAAATTTTCGGCCAGAGTCTCGATTATTCTTAATGCTTCAATGTAAGTCCTAATATTTTAATATTTTTTTGGGGTTTTAATCAGGTTCTGAGGCTAGTTTCTTAACCCATGATTTCTTAAGCATATCGCAGGGTGTACTCATCGAGGATAAAAATAACCCCTTAACCCTGATAACATAGTGAAGTCATGACCCGCCTGTGCATTAGGGATCATAGATCTGGGCGGTTTGGTTCGATGCATCTGCAGAAACAGCCCCTGTCCCTAATGTGTTCGGCCCTCCTAACTTAGGTCACCTCCCAACGGGTTGGGGGTCTTGCTTTGGTTTCATCATACACGTTCACTGTCAGCGCGGCTTCTGGAAATGTCGTCCGATGGACGATGGTCTGCACCTCGCCCGACCCCGTAGCAGATCGAGACGTGGTGGTGGGGCAAGGGAAGCCGCAGCTCATCGAGACTTGCGGCAGCAGACGCCGCAACATTCCAAGACCTGGGGCAAGAGGGTAAATCGACGAGATAAGCCACGACCTGCGGAATCGCCCTGAGCCCCCGCATAGAAAAAACAACCTTCCCGCGGAATCGTGGAGATACGAACTTTGGATTCGGGACCCCCAACCCCGGATCAGACACGACCTCCAGAACGGCAAAGCACGAAACCTCCTCCTCCTCCTCCTTTACCTCCTCCTCCTCCTCCTTTTCCTCTCCTCCTCCTTTCTCCTCATCTCCTTTTCCTCCTCCTCCCTTTCCTCCTCCTCCTCCCTTTCCTCCTCCTCCTCCTTTCCCTCCTCCTCCTCCTCCTCCTTTCCCTCCTCCTGCTCCTCCTCCTCCTCCTCCTCCGTAGCAACTTTGGCTCAAGGCGAGGAGCTCCTCGGTGTGACAAGCGTATGCCGCTGGTCGTCGGCAGCCTTCCCATCTCTTCTCGGGGGGAGTCCTTCCCTGCGGCAACGGCCGCACGTCGAGCCCCGCCTCGCTCCCCGCAGTGCTCGCGATGGGGCTCGTGCCGTCGCCTTAGTCTTAAGGAGGAGGAGGAGGAGGAGGAGGAGGAGGAGGAGGAGGAGGAGGAGTAGGAGGAGGAGGAGGAGGAGGAGTGAGGAGGAGGAGGAGGAGGAGGAGGAGGAGGAGGAGGAGAGGAGGAGGGGAGGAGGAGGAGGAGGAGGAGGAGGAGGAGGAGGAGGGGTGAATACTCAAAAATAGCGAAAAAACAGTGTGAGGACTATTCGTTGCATATTCCCAGAAAGGGCGCCAGCCCAGGGTTCTCTTTTAGAGGTTTCCCCCCGGTTTCGACGGCTGTAGGGCCGGCGAATCTCTTTTGCGATAAGTAACGAGGTCGCCTAGGGCCGGCGAATTACAAAGTTGAGGATGTCCCTGGCGAAACGCTGTTTTTTTCCAGAACTTGTTGAGGATGTCTCGAGCGAAACGTTTGTTTGGTGTTATAGATTGTCCTCCCCTGGGGACCTGAATTCAGAGGATCTCTCAAGTGAAATGCTTGTTTTCACGTGCCCCGGTCTTGAGGATGTCTCGAGCGAGACGCTTGGTTTCACGCCTCCAGGTTGCCCAGACAGATGTCTAGCATGAGGATTTGTTGAGGATGTTTCGAACCAGGGGCTTGTTTTCACGTGTCCAGGTCGCCCAGGCGGATGTCTAGCATGAGGATGTGTCGAGGAAGTCTCGATCGAGACGCTTGTTTGCACGTGTCCAGGTTACCCAGGCGGATGTCTTGCATGAGTATGTGCTGAGATTGTCTTGAGCGAAACGCGTGTTTTCACGTGTCCAGGTCGCCCAGGCACAGCACAGCCCTCGGCACGGTACATCAATATCGATACCCTTAGCATTGCAGCCTGGCGTGTTTCCTGGTACGTTCCGCGGAACGTCCCGTGGCGAGTCCCCCAGGCACGTCGCGCGGTGCACGTCCATTGGCACGGTCCGTTGCGCGTCCCCTTGGCACGTCCCGCGGTGCGTGCCCATGGCACGTCCCCTGGCACGTCGCCTGGCGCGTTCCTTGGGACGTTCCGCGGCGCGTCCTCCTGGCATGTCCCCTCTGTCGCTTCGTTTTGGGGCAACTACCATCTGCTCAGGCAGCTCGAGCGTGAGATCCAGATCAGTTCGGTCAGGACTCGGATGCAGAGAGGACTCGATCCACAACGCTATCTAGAGCACAATCGCGGCATGGCACATCGCAGTTCAGCACGGCCCAGCACAGCACAGCCGTCGGCACGGTACATCAAGATCGATACATTCAGCATTGCATTTGCCCGTCGCCCAATCAGGTGTCTTTGAAACGTTGCCATGCCTAACATTTCTAGATTCCTTTCCGGGTTCGTGGGTCCATCATGTTTTTTTGACCATGTTGGATTATTTATCGTTTTTTCATTGAAAATTCCCCTGTGGGGGGATACGCCCGACTTAACCTTAGTCCAAGTAGTCCAAAGTCAGGTCTGACTGGGACGACTGGCTTGGTGATGGATGACAGGTGGCGTTTGCAGATAACAGAGCGGGCAAATCCAAGAAGAATCATGAATCGTACTCGATCTGGGACTTCCGTTCGCCTTCTCGCAAGTCGTGGCAAGTGTGTGGGCTCTGGCAAGCATATAATCCCTGTCGACCTCGGGGCTTCGGGTTGGCCTGCATTCAACGTCGGCGCAGAGGGAGGGCGATCATCCCCAAGCTTTGTTGAAGCCCGCATTACCGAAATCAAGAAGGCTGCCAGTCGTTTCTCCCCAGACAAAGCAGTCGAGTTGCTCAAGGATGCTGGGCATGCCAAGCTCCCCCCCAAGGCTCCAGAGTCCCAGTTGCCTGAGGCCGAGATCGACGCAGCCGAGGCGACGAAGCGTTGGGCTTCCAAGGCGCTCGACAAGGTTCTCCACGAACGCACCACAGCAGATCAGTACTCCGTGGAAGCTCAGGCTAAGGTTGATGAGCGTCTGTTCAATGGAAAGCAGCCCAAGAAGGAGCTCGAGGAAGCGACCAGGCGTCATGCTCAGATGGTGCCGTCGGGTGATCTTGTCCAGAAGTCTGTTGACGCGCGAAGAAGAGCTCTGTGGTCCACATCGACGCTTTGCTGGCCAATCCTGAGCCGTTGGAGCTGGAGGTCGGTGGTGCGGTTGAACTTTCTGGTCCCGAGTTTTCTGATACTGCCAGGAAGCAGTTCGAGAAGTGGGTGGTCGCTCACAAACAGTACTGCGCAGGGCTTCTTCAAGAGGCACTCAAAACGATTCAAGGTCAAGCCAGAGTTGCCCAGGACGAACGCACATCATCAAGCACATGTTGGCCAAGAAGAGTTGCATCGGCACTGAGGGGCAGTCCACCCACAGCGGGCGCGCGAGCACCCACGGAGGGTGCGCCAGCTGAACAGCTCTCGTGGGCCCCACGGAGGTGACGCCGGCTCGACAGCAGGAGTGTACCCTCTAGGATGCAGCGCCCCCCAGCGGGTGATCTGCTGACGGCCGCAGCGGCGCAGGAGGCGCAGACTTAGGCCAGTGCCAGATAACGATCTCGATGAGATTCAGAAGCGCGAGGTGGCTGTCCCTGCGGCGGCCCGAGCCAGAGCGGCCCAAACCGAGGCCAATGAGGAGGGAGACTGGGAAATCCAGATGGATGATTTGGCTTCCACCGGTCTCGCCAAGACCAGTGATGGGCTCACGCCGACGCGTGTTGGGGGCCGTGGCGCAGCAGGCAGAATCGGTTGCGCACTAGTCCGTGCAGGGTTTGCTCATGCCGTCGGGTTCGAAGCGGTTGGCCCGTCGGCCCCGTGGGCCACTCACCCGGCGCTCAAGTTTCAGATTGCCTCGAGACCGCGCACCGCTCGCGGGTGGCAGCCAGCCGCCCTCGCGCGCGGGACCCGGCGGTGTGCGCCGAGGGCGTGCTCGCTCCAGCGGGGGTGAAGCTTGTGGTCAGGGCCGTTTTTTCGCTTAGGGAGAGGGAGGAGGAGGAGGAGGAGGAGGAGGAGGAGGAGGAGGAGGAGGAGGGAGGAGGGAGGAGGAGGAGGAGGAGGAGGAGGGAGGAGGATGAGGAGGAGGAGGAGGAGGAGGCGGAGGAGGAGGAGGAGGAGGAGGAGGAGGAGGAGGAGGGAGGAGGAGGAGTGAGGAGGAGGAGGAGGAGGAGGAGGAGGATGAGGAGGAGGAGGAGGAGGAAGGATGAGGAGGAGGAGGAGGAGGAGGAGGAGGAGGAGGAGGAGGAGGGAGGAGGAGGAGTGAGGGGAGGAGAGGAGGAGGAGGAGGAGGAGGAGGAGGAGGAGGAGAGGAGGAGGAGGAGGAGGAGGAGGAGGAGGAGGAGGAGGAGGAGGAGGAGGAGGAGGAGGAGGAGGTAGGAGGAGGAGGATGAGGAGGGGGAGGGGGAGGGGGAGGCGGAGGAGGGGAGGAGGAGGAGGAGGAGGAGAGGATGGAGGAGGAGGAGGCAGGAGGAGGAGGAGGAGGAGGAGGAGGAGGAGGAGGAGGAGGAGGAGGAGGAGGAGTGAGGGGGAGGGGAGGGGGGGAGGAGTAGGAAGGAGGAGGAGGAGAGGAGGAGGAGGAGGAGGAGGAGGAGGAGGAGGAGGAGGAGGAGGAGGAGAGGAGGAGGAGGGAGGGGGAGGAGGAGGAGGGGGAGGGGAGAGGAGGAGGATGGAGGAGGAGGAGGAGGGAGGAGGATGAGAGGAGGAGGAGGATGGAGGAGGAGGATGAGGAGTGAGGCAGGGGGAGGGGAGGACGGGGGGGAGAGAGGAGGATGAGGAGGAGGAGGAGGAGGAAGGAGGAGGAGGAGAGAGGAGGAGGAGGAGGAGGAGAACGTTTCGGGTCCAGTTTTGATGCGGCGGGGCCGCTCCTTCTCGGCGCGACTCGCCTGGGGTTGCCTTCGATCTGGGGCGGCGGCTCAGCTCGCGGGCTCTGGCGCTCGCGCTGGCGCGCTGTGGTCGGAAAAGGGGGCCCCCGCCGCCGGCCCCCCCCCGGTCCACGAATGACTGGGGCGGCGCGACAGGCGGCTGCCGCATCCTCACTCCTCCCCCGCCCCTCTCTCCTCCTCTCCCTCCCTCCTCCTTCCTCATCCTCATCTCCTCCTCCTCCCTCCCCTCCCGCCTCCTCCTCCTCCTCCCTCATCCTCCTCCTCCTCCTCCTACCTCCTCATCCTCCTCCTCCGCCTCCGCTCCTCCTCCTCCTCCTCCTCCCCCACATTCGATGGCTGCCGATAGACTCTAAAAAGCGCCGCTGGGCCCCCCTGAGCTGGCGAGGGTGCTGGGTATTAGGCGGCCCCTTCGGCCCAGCTGTGATTTCTTTTGACGCGACCACGAGGGGCGCGCCATCGAAGCGGCCGTCCCCCCCTGCAAAGCGCCAGCTTCCATTCTGGATTGCTTTGAGGGGGGTTGGCTGAGCTTCTTCCATTTGGGGCTCTGGGCCCTGGGGGCGCGGGCGAGGCGGCCGCCCGGGGGCGATGGGGTACTTGGTCGAGCCGGCCCTCCAACGCGTCGGTGGGGGGTTTCAGCGGCTGCGCGGCGATGCCGAGACTCGCGCTGACAAGTCTTTCCGCAGGGCTGCTTCGGAGGCCCGTTCCAGATGGGAGATTCGGCTCTCGGATGCCCTCGCGGAGTCGGCCTCGGCGGCCCAGGGGCTGCGCGCGTCCTGGGCGGTCCCATATGTTCCCAGTCCCGACTCCGTTTTCAATGGGCGACCTGCCACCCTGGCCGATGATCTCCTCGATGTCGAGTCGGAGGCTTGGGGTGCTATCTGGGTGAATCATTCTTGGCCCGAGGCGCTCGGGGCGTCGGTCCTTCTGATGGTGGCTGCTCGAGGGGTCTTCGGAGTTCGCCCCCGTCTCAGTCTCAGCTCGTGAAGACGTTGCAACTGATGTCTGACTGGCGCGGCGAGGGGGCCGGCGGTGCGCCGCTTCGCTCGTTCGCGGGGGCGCCCTCTGAGGCGCTCGAGGTCCTTGCTGGCCCTCTCGCTTCCATCGAGCGGGAGGCCGCTGTTCCTTGCCACTCGCCGCTTAACATGATTGCTCGGCTTGGCGAGGGACCTGTGGGCCCGAGGCCCATGGCGCGGCTGTTCCCTACGTTCAGCTCTGCAGGGTTCGGGGCCTGTCATTGGGCGCTGGGGCCGCGAAGCCGACGGATCCTGCGACCAAGCCGTCGACTCGTCTGCAGGGCGCGCCGGTTGGCTGGGCGAGCGCTCGAGACCGAGTTGGCCCTGCTCGGGGTGTTCAGGGATGCGGGGGGGGGGGGGTGCTGTATAGGGAGAAATTTTACGGTCGTATTTGTTGGCCTGATCGCGAACGAACTTCCCGTGACCTCGAATGCCCCCTCGGCATTTCTGCGCTGGCCCCGGACGCGCGCCCGGGAGTCGGGGCGCCCCCCTTCCCCCCCGCGCCTGAAGTCGTTGCCGCCGACCATCTCGTCTTAGATGCGCTCCAGGACGTCGAGGCCAATCTAGTCACTAGTCTTTCGGTGTCGCGGCCTTGTTGCCCTGTCTTGGTTGGAGCGTCTCCCCCTCCGCCGCGGCCGGGGTTCTTATTCCCTACCTAGGCTTTGCCTAGAAGGGTTCTTACTCTCTGGGCTTAAAGGGGCCGGGCAGTGGAAAGCGCCCCGGGCGGATCCCCCAGTATCCGCCCCGCGGTTCCCCCAGTTACGTCCCCTTAGCTTAGCGTTGCTTATCTCATCTTAGCTTAGTTTATTTCATCTTAGCTTAGCTTAGTTTCATCTTAGCTCAGGTTTATCTTGGCCTAGCTTACCTCCATCGTAGCTTCGCTGAGCTTTGGCATAGCAGAGCACATCATAGCATAGCATAGCGTAGCATAACATAGCGCAGCACAACATATCATAACATAGCCCAGCATAGCACAGCATAGCATAGCATAGCATAGCGCAGCACAGCACAGCACAGCATAGCACAGCGCATCATAGTATAGCACAGCATAGCATAGCATAGCGCAACATAGCACAGCGCAGCATGACAATGCATAGCATAGCATAGCTTAGCATCTCACATCACAGCAAATCATATCATAGCATAGCATAGCGCAGCATAACATAGCATAGCATAGCATAGCATAGCGCAGCATAGCATGGCATAACATATCATAGCATAGCATAACATAGCAACTACTGCTGCTTTCCTAGGGGCTCCAACTTCTAGGTAGGGCCGCACTGGGGTAATTTTGGTCGGGCGTACGGGAGGCTTGAGTCCTGGCGGCGTCTTTGTTTGACGGGTCTGGTGGCAAGGTGCCCGAGGGCCCCCTTCTTCGGCGGGTGCATTGCGCTCTCATGCGTCTTGTTGAAGGCCTGGCGGGATTCTGGATGCTCGGGAGTGGTCGACAGCCATGTGCAGTCGGCGCCGAGGGTCGTTCTTCAAGCGGTCGCGTCGTGCGCGGGGGCTGTGGGCCCATCCTCTGGCTTTCTCACGCGGCGCGACCACGCGAATCATGTCCGAGCCATGGCCAACGACGAGCACCAGCTTTACGCTCGATCATGCGGATATCTCGCGGGCTTTTCGCGCCGTTGCATCCGGGGGCGGGGCTCTTTGAGACGTGGCGCGCCCCTCCGCGCGCGGCGGACGACGGCGCTCGATCTGCTCGTTCGGCGAACTCTGCGCCGCCTGGGGCCAGGCTTGCCGACGCAATCTCCGACGGCCTAGCTGGGGCGAGGGCCAGCGTGGGCCGCGCCGATCCCGGCGCCCGCGCGGGGGCCCTCGGCCTCGCGCCCGAGGCCGAGTCGGCTCGACGCAGGGGTTCCAGTTCGCGCTTGGCCGCCGCCACTGTTTCCGAGCGCAATGGCGAGAGGTCGTGCCCGAGACCCCCCCCCCCTTGGGCCGGGCGGGCGGCGAGGGGAGATGCGGCGGCGGCCGCGCCCGCCTGCGAGTCTCGCCGCGCCGCGCGAGGTTGGCGTTGCGACCGTCGCGGCAGGTTCGCTGCGGGGCCCGCGTTGGCGTCCTGCCCCGCCTCGGGGGCCCGCGCCCGAGGCGGCCCCGGGCGGAGGTCTGGTGGCCTCTTGGCGCCCCGGATGCGGGTGAAGAGCCGGCGCTGGGGGGGAGAAGGAGGGGCGAGGTCCGCCTTCCCGGCCCCCGCCTCCGCCCCCCCCCCCCCTGGCGCGTCGCCCCCCGCCCTCTGGCTGGGGCAGGTCCCGAGGGCATCTCGGCAATGTGTTGCGCAGGTGCCGCGCTGGTTGGATCGAGGGTGCGCGCTGTTTCTGGTCGGCTTGTGGGGGGCGCACCTCGTGGGCAGCGCGTTCGAGGGCTTCGTCGGTCGACGCGTGGCCAAGGTGCCCGAGCGCGTCGACGTCTCGCGCCATCTCGTTCGTCGCCTGTCGGCGCAAAGGTTCGACCGCGCGATGGGCGAGTTCCGCGCCGAGCGTGCGGACATGGCCGGGCCCCATGGGCAAGCAGAAGCAGCTCGCGGGCGCCGTCGACCCCGCCTTGAAGAAGATGGGCGGCAAGGTGTCGGTCGGGGCTGCTGCCCTGGCGGAGACCTCGGCGATGGAGGGCGGACGGCGGGGGCCCGTGACAGGGGGGTCGGGGCGCAGGAGGCAGACCCGAGGCGGCGCGCGGCCTCGCGCGCAACAGCTTCATTCGCGATTCCCTGCAGGAGGCAAAGTTGCAGGACATCGTCGAGTTCGGCGACGCGGGGGATCAGGGGGGCAGTGCGCGACTCCTTCCGCCAGGTGGGCAAGCGGAGATTGCTCGATGGCATCATCAACCCCCTTTCCGTGATGGGGTGCCCGGAACGCCTGGCGCCTCAGCTCGAGGATCGCGATTACGGAGAGATCGCGATTACGGAGAGATCGCGAAGGCAGCGCGGGGCGCCCCCGAAAAGATTGGCGCGTGAAGGTCGACGGGCAAGCGGAACAGCTCGCCAGGGGCAGCGGCAAGGGATCCCCCCTGCAGAGCGTGATGCCGCTGCGCCGCGCTCCGCAGCTCTTCGCGCGGGAGCCGGATTCGGCGGCTCTGCGCGGGCTGCGGGGGCCGGGCGACGATCGGGTAGTCCGCGCTGGACAGGCGCAGTGAGTTCGAGAGCATCGGCAACCCCGTCATGATGAAGCGTGGCGATCGGGAGGGCGGCGCGGGGCGCGGCGAAGGGGTCGGAGGACATCGGCGGCCACGCCCTCTCGCCGGCTGCGGACGCCCTCGCGGGCGCGAGGCCGAAGCTGAAGGGGGCGCAGCAGTCGCTCGCGAAGGAAGGCGCGGTGCCGCCCGACGCGCTCGACGACCTTCGCGCGTTCCTCGAGAGTCGGCGTCGGCGGCGCGAGCGCCGTCCAATATGAGTACTTTCGCGCGCGCGTGGCCGCTGCTGCCTCGTGGATTCCTCGGCCAGCGCTGCCGCCTGGGCTCGGAGGCCCTGGTCTTCTGGGTGGGTTCTGGGGGCCTCTCGTTTTCTCGCGGCGTTCCATCGGGGCTCGGGGCTTTCCTGGCCCTTGGGGTCTTCGGGGGCGCTCGGTGTTCCGTTGGGTGTTCGGTTGGGCTCTCCTGGGGGTCGGGCCGTCCCCGCGGGGGTTGGGCGTGGACCTTCCGGTGGCCTTCTTGGGTCTCGGATGCGCCGCGCTCCTTTCGGAGCCCGTCTTGGGACTGTGGGCTGCGCCCTGCGCCTGTGTCTGTTCAAGGTTGCGCGCGGTGCCGATGTTTGGCCGGCTGGGCCCACAACGCAGGGGGAGGGACCCGCTCCTCCTCCTCCTCCTCCTCCTCCTCCTCCTCCTCCTCCTCCTCCTCCTCCTCCTCCTACTCGTCCTCCCCCTCCTCCTCTTCCTCCTCCTCCTCCTCCTTCTCCTACTCCTCCTCCTCCTGCTTCTCCTCCCCCTCCTCCTCCACCTCCTCCTCCTCCTCCGCCTCCTCCTCCTCCTCCTCCTCCTCCTCCTCCCGCTCGTCCTCCTCCTCCTGCTCCTTCCCTCCTGCCCCTCCTCCTCCTCCGCGCCGTGCTCCTCCTCCTCCTCCTGTCCTCTCCTCTCCTCTCCCCTCCTCTCCTTTTCATTCCTCTCCTCTCCTTTCTTCTCCTCTCCCCTCGTCTCCTCTCCTTTTCTCTCTGCTTTCTTCTCTAGGCACGGAGCGCTGCGCAGCGCGGTTGCAGTATTCGGTGCGTACGCAGTCTCGGACCGCTCCAAGTGGGCAGGTCCTATTTCACTGCCGCAGATGGTCGACCTGAAGGCTGGAGGCCAGCTTTGCCCTTGCCAGGCCTGCGGCAAGCTTTCTGGGCCGTCGTCAGGCGATCTTGGAGGCGTTTTGGGCCGTCTCGGAGCGTCGAGGGCACGAAAAGGCGGGAACGCCCCAAACCGTCAAGCACTCGAGGAAATCGAGGAGTTGTGTCTCTTGAGACCGTCTTGGGCGGGCTCTGGGAGCTTTCTTTGGGGCATCTTGGGGGCCCACATCGGCGTTCCGAAAGTTGCTGTTTGCGAAGTACGGTTCCTCGCGGGTGCAACGCAGCCGCATGATTGGAATGTCGCTCCAATAAAGAACTCGCGCGCGAGCCTCGCGGACCCGGGCAAGCGCAGCGCCCGTGCGCGAACGCTGACAAATCTTGCGCGTGTTTCGGACCACTGGGGGCAGCAACATAGATCCGCCGAACATTCTTTTGTAGAAAGCACCCAGCGTCAGGTCAACATTCGGGTCCGTCCGACGGGGCATGAACACATTGTTTGGCCCACGTCCCACGCAAGTGGGCCACTCTCCGGCTGGCTGGTGAAGTCTTCGGGCCGTGATGTGAGCAAGCCCGAGAGGTTTCCCAGGGGAAATCCTGGTCAGTTGGTTCGTGGTCGGGTCCATAGACTGTGCGGGTTTCAAATTTTTACATTGGGAACCGAAGCCCGATTCCGGCCCAGGGGGCGAGGAGGAGGAGGAGGAGGAGGAGGAGGAGGGGGAGGGGGAGGAGGAGGAGGGAGAGGGGGAGGAGGAGGAGGAGGGCTGGAATCACGCACTGGGATCCTGCGGTCTGACGGGGCGGGGCGCCGATCCCGCCCCCGCCTCCGCCATCCTTCCGCCCTCGCTCCCCGAGTGGCCCCCGTTGGCCGTCTTCGACCTCGCGCCGTCTAGATTTATGTCGGGTCTGTCCCTCTTCAGGGGGAATCTTCAACAATGGTAAAGAAATAGTCTGGGGATTATTGTTTGACCATTTTTGATTTGTTGTTAAGGCATTAGTTGTTGATTTGTCGTCCAAAATCGGCCTGTAGGGGGACAGGCCCGACTTAAGCCTTGATGGCAAAATTGGGGAAACTTTCGGATCGGCGTAGTATCAGGGCCATCTTGGGCATGTTGGAGCGGTTCTGGGCCGATTCGGGGCCCATGGGACCGTCTATGGGACCGTCTTTGGTGAATCTTGGAGTTGGGTCAAGAGCGTGCGAGCATCTCTCAATCTCTCTCTCTCTCGCTCTCTTTTTTGCATTCTTCACCTTCTCTCTCGCACTCTCTCCATATAGTGTGTGTGTGTGTGTCTCTCTCTCTCTCTTTCTCTCTCCGTCAGTGTCTCTCTCTCTCTCTCGCTCTCTTTTTTTCTGTTTTGTTTTTATTTTCTCTCTCTCTCTCTCTATGTCTGTCTTGATTTCTGTATACGTATGCACCTCTGCAAGTGTTCAACATAATTTCACATACACATATTCACATGCGCATACATACTTGTATGTATGCATGCATGTATGCATGCATGCATGCACGCATGTATGTATGCATGTATGCATGTATGCATGTATTACTGTGTTAATGTATGCATGCATATATGCATGCTTGTAAGCATGCACGTATGTATGCATACGTGCATGTGTTCATGTGTGCAGGTATGCATATTTATGTACATGTATGTATACAATGCATGTAGGTGTATTCATATGCACACACATACATACATATATACACACACATATATATATGTATATATATACATATACACGTGCATACATACATACACGCGCAGCTGCAAAAGCACACCACAACGCCCAACATGTCCTCGAGACGGCCAAAGAGCGTCCAAAACCTGAGAGCGGCCTCGGAACTCTGGTGCTTGGCCAAGGAAAAGGAGGAGGGAAGGGAGCGAGAGCTAACGCACCCACGCGCGTCCACGAGGCCTCCGGACTGAGCCCGCATAACTTGCAATCGTCCCTTTCCTTGGTTTTTGATGGATTTCGGCGCCCTCGCATTCTCACGCTTCCACGCTCCAAGACGGCCCAAGAAATCCCCAAACCGCTTCAAACGCGGCTCAAAATAACCCACGCGGGCTTCAAGACGGCCCATGAAGCCCTCCCAAAGGCCCTCAGAATAACCCAAGAGGGCCCACAGACGGCCGAAGATAACGCCAAGACGGCCCCCAGCACGACCAAGACGACCCAAGACAGCCTCAGGAAGGCTCCAAAAAGGCCCAGGAAAATCAGGAGGGAAAAAACACACAGACACAATTAATCGTCGACCCCCAGGAAAATATGGGAAAATATGGGAAGTGGGGGGAAAGACAAAAACCAAGAAGATACGGGAAAGTATGGGGAATCCTTTTATTTGTGTGTATTTATTTGTGTATCCCAGGGCCCCTTCAGAAAAGGATCACGAACTCACACTTGTCAAGATCGCCCCATGATCTTCCCCGAGGCCCCCACGGCACCCCAGCGACGCCCCGAGAGGCCTTCAAAGGCTCCCCTAAAAGTTCAATGCATATCTGTGAGGCCCCCCTACATCCATATCCATGTGCACACGCACACACATATATATATATATATATATATATGTATTTGTGTATGTATATGTATATGTATATGTATATGCATATACATAGGTATAGGTATATGTAGGTGCATGTGCATATGCATACGTAGATGTTATATGTCTATATATGTCTATATACACGTATATGTATATGTTTTTGTATGTGTATAAATATGCATATTTACATACATACGTCGATGTATATATATATATGCGTATCTGTATCGGTATATGTATATGTATATGTATATGTATACGTATATGTATATGTAGATGTATAGGTATATACATGTGTATATGTATATGCATATGTATATGTATATGTATATGTATGTGTATATGTCTGTGTATATGTACAGGTGTGTGTATATATATATATATATATGTATATGTATAGGTATATATACACATATATATATATATGTATATGTACATGTATATGTATATGTATGGGTATTTGTATCTGTATAGGTATATGCATATGTATTTATATATGTATATGCATTGTACATGTATAGGTATAGGTATGCATCTATGTGTATATATGTATGTATATATACACTACACACATACATGCATACATACATGTGGAAGTATCGCGTGCGTGTACATGCGCGTGTACACATGCATTTGCGTATTCATGCGCGAATGTGCACGTGCACGCACGTCGCCTGCGCGTGAAATTAAGTTAACCAATGTGCACGGCGCGAAGCGCCAATGCAGTCTTGTATACATTACGTATGTAGGTATGCCTGCATGTATGTACGCATGCATGTATGTTTGTATGTATGTATGTGTGTATGCCCCCCCCCCCCTCAGAGACCCAACCTTCTAAGTATTATGTTGTTTATTCTAGTATCGTCTCTCTCCCTCTCTTTTTTATCTCTCTCTCTCTCTCTCTTTCCCCCTTCTCTCATTATCGCCCTTCTCCTCCTCTCGCTCTCCTGCTTCCCTTCCTCCTCCTCCTCCGCTTCTTCTCGCCTCTTTTGTCTTTTATGTTTCATCCAGTCCTCTAGGAGGCTGTAGTTGTTGTTTTGTTCCCCCTTCGTTCTCGCGGCGCCCGCCCCCCGCCTCAGGAAGAGACCACGGAAACACAGGAAAGACGCATGAAGCAATCTGATAACCAAACCCGTATGTGGACGAATCAGAAAAATCCAGCGACCGAGGGAGGGCAGAGAAACAACATTAAACATTGCACCGTCTCCTCCAGAACACCAAGCGTTCCTTGTCGGGGCGGCTCCACAAATAGAGCCCCTTTGTAAGCCAGTGCGCAGGGACTACCCTTGTATTCCCCATGCAGGGGGACTCCTTCTGCAAGCCGCCACAAAAGTAATCCTTATGAAATCCGCTACGAAAGGTGTCCGTTTGTGACCCGCCGCAAAAGGAATCCCGTTGGGGAGCCGCCCGCCACGATAATGAGCTCTGTGTCATCTGGAGGAGGAAGTCTACTGTACAATGTTCTTCCTTTCCCCGCCCTCGGAGGCTGTTTTGTTTCATTTCTGATGTTCTTCAATGTTTTTCGGCCCTTTCGTTCCCGCGGCGCCCGCCCCCCACCTCAGGACGAGACCACGGAAGAACAGCGAAGCAAGAAAACATTAGAAAATCGGCTTGCCCATGAACAGTAAGAAAAACCCAGCCTCCGAGGGCGTGGAGAGGAACGAAGCTACAAATTGCGCACTTTCCTCCAGATTGCAAACAATTCTTTGTCGCGGCGGCTCCCCAAAGGCATTCCTTCTTAGGATTCCTTCTTAGGGGATGGGGATGAACAGAGGATTCGTTCTGTAGCGGCTTACCGAAGGTTTCCTGTTGTGACAGATTCCCAAAGGATGCTTGTTGTGGCAGATCGCAAGGCGATTGTAAATGCCTTGCGGCCTGTGCCGCCGACCCTGAAGGCGGGACCTCCGCCGGCGCCCCCACCGGGACCCGCCTGACACCTGGGGGGGCGGCACTCTGATCCCAAGACCTTTCTCCCCCACCACAGAGGACCTCCCCCGGAACCTCCCTCCAGGACCTCTCCCCGCGGCAGGCTTCCCCCCGTTCCCCCCCCCAAGAAGGGGACCGGGAAGGGGAGGGACGGCCACCAGATCCCCGGGGAGTGGGGCAGTAATTTGACCCGGGACCCTCCCCCTCCTACCCCTTCCCTCCCTATCCTCCCCTCGCTACCCCCCCCCCGTCAGGGAAGGGAGAGGGGGGCGGAATCGACTTGACGACGACGTAACTTTTCTCTGTTCGTTTCTGAATGTCTGTGGGACTGGCGACAACGACGACAACGACGACGAAGACGACAGTGTCTCACACGCGCTGAAGGGTCAGCGGAACTTTTTTGTGGCGGGCCTCCATGGAAGTCCTCCTGCGGCGCACAACCAATTCCTCCTACCTATGAGTGCCAGAGCACAACCAATGACCGAGACATCCGTCCGCCGTCCTCTGTCTTCCTCTGGCCTCCTACAGAGAACCGCGGACGGCGGACGGACGCGTCATTCCTATTTTTCCTCCTCTTGCTCCTTCTCCTCCTCTTCCGCCTCCTCCTCTTCCTCCCGTGGACACCAGCGACCACTTGGACGTCATCATCATCCTCATCCTCACCCCATTCCTGATCCTCATAATCATCATCATCACCATCATCATCGTCATCATCATCATCGTCATCATCATCATCATCATCATCAGCATCATCATCATCATCAACATCATCATCATCATCATCATTACCATCATCATCACCATCATCATCATCAACACTATCATCGTCATCGTCATCGTCATCCTCAGCGTCATCGCCAGCGTCATCGTCATCGCAATTGCCATCGCCATCGCCATCATCATCATCATCATCATCATCATCATCATCATCATCATCATCATCATCATCATCATCATCATCATTATAGACATCGTCATCGTCATCGTCATCGTCATCGTCATCGTCATCGTTATCATCATCGTCATCTTCTTCATCCTCATCATCATCATGATCGCCATCATCATCATCACCATCATCAGCATCGTCATCATAATCATCATCATCATCACCATCGTCCTCCCCATTATCTTTCTCCGCCTGCTCCTCATGCTGCTCCTCGCCGATCACGCTGCTCCCCCTCCCCTTCCTTCTTCTGCTCAGGTTGCTGCTGCTCCTCCTCCTGACACTTTTCCTCCTCCACCTCCACCTCATCTTCTTTGTCATGCGTCCTTTGAATGTGTTGCTGGTACACACCTTCTTCCTTGATAGTGAGCCTCCCACTGCGTTTGCTGGTGCTGAGGCTCCCCCCGCTACATCACGATTCCTTTGTATGTGCTGCTGGTGCGCGCCCTCCATCTTGATAATGAACCTCCCACTGCGGGTGCTGGTGCTAATGCTCATCCTGCTACACCTCCTCTCCATGTCCTGTCCTTTCTCATCAGTGCTCCTCATTACCCATCACTTTCACTCCTCTTCCTTGTCTTCCTCCTCATCCTCAACAGCATCATCCCTCCCTCCTGCTCCCCCTCATCCTCCTTCTCCTCGCTACTACTTCTCCTCGTCGTCGCATGCATCCTTCTCGTCCGAGACGGAAGGGGAAGAACGCGAACAACAGGAAGAGTCTGAACAAAGGAGGATGAGGATGAGGAGGAGGAGGAGGACCAGGAGGAGGAGGGGGAGGAGGAGGATTGCGAGGAGGAGAAAGAGATAGGAAGGCGGGCACGGAGGAGAAGGAGGAGGAGGCCGATATGGATGTGAATTGAGTAGGAGGAGGAGGAGGAGCAGGAGGAGGAGGAGGAGGAGGAGGAGAAGGGGTTGGAGAAAGGGGAGGAGGGGAGGGACGGCGAGCGATGATAACAACAGTCACGAATGGGAAAGGTGAATGAGGAGGCGGAGGCAGGATCAGGGGGATGAGGAATGATAAGGAACAGGAGGAAGCACATGATGATGATGATTAGGAGGAGGAGGAATGAGGAGTGGTGCCGAAGAGCAATAGTTGTGCTGCTGCTGCTGAAGGTGGCGATCATGATGTTCATGATGACGGAGCGGGGGAGGATCATGAGGAGGAGGAGGAGGGTGAGGAAGATAATGCTGGATACGCACGGGGTGGAAGAATTTGTTGAGGATCCGTCAGGATGGTGTTAAGAAGCATGATTGCTGGACGATGAGAAGGACCAGTCTGATTGAGAAGGGTGATGCGCACAACTCATGCAGACGCATGTTGTATATATGATCACGATTCAAGATGATATGTATGATCTTGGGGAACCTCGCATACATGCATACATGTATATACATACACACATGTACAAGTAAAAAGGGTACATCTACATGTGAAAGAGCGTGTTCTACCGCTGCTGGCGGAAAACCGGGGGGGGGTCATTACCGGTTCGAACCCTTCCCCCCCCCCCCTCCAGAAAACCGGGGGGGTCACTACCGGTTCGAACCTCTCCCCCCCCCCAGCTCATCATGAAAAGGGGGGGGGGTCACTACCGGTTCGAACCCCCCCCCCCCCTCGAAAACCGAGTGGGGGTGCGGACAGAGGTGGGGACGGTGTTGGTGGGACAGTGGCGAAGGGACAGCGGGACAGTGGTGGGGACAGTGGGACAGTGGGACAGTAGAGGGCCGGTAGTGGTGGGGACAGTGGTGGGGACAATGGTGGGTGGGAACAGGGGGGACAGTGGACAGTGGTGGGGACGGTGGTGGTGGGGACGGTGGTGGTGGGGACAGTGGTGTGGGCACAGTGGGAATGAGGTGGCAACAGTGGGACAGTGGAGGGTACAATGGTGGTGGGGACAGTGGTGAAGGCGGTGGCGAGGACGGCGGTGGGACAATGGGACAGAGGTACAGTGGGGACAGTGGTGGGGACAGTGGGGACAGTGGTGGGAACAGTGGGACAGCTCAGTGGGACAGCGGAGGAGTCAGTAGGACAGTGGGGACAGTGGGGATAGTCGGGCAGTGGTTGGGGCCGTGGAGACAGTGGGGAGAGTGGAACCGTGGTGGGAACAGTGGTGGGGACAGTGGGGACAGTGCAACAGTGGTGGGGGCACTGGGGACACAGTGGGGACAGTGGTGGTGAGGACAGTGGTGCTGGGAACAACAGTGGAGGATGTGATGCGGACGGTGGTAGGGACCGGGAGTCGTTTGCTGGCGGTGAGTGGGGG